ATGATGATGATGATGATGATGATGATGATGATGATGATGATGATGATTATTATTATTATTATTATTGTTATTATTTAATGTCCTTTCAGTTTTATCCATAATCTAAATGTGCCAATTACAAATATGGGGAAAGTTGTCATAGTAGACTTCTCTGATGTGATAAATAACAAAATAACAAAACAGGAAAATTGGAGACTTCCTGTCTTAAGCTTCCAATTAGCAAAGTATGTAACAGGATTTATCAGTTTTTTCTACTGAGAAGCAGAGAAAAGCAAATCAGGGTAAGGAATGAAGAAACCTACTGCCACGTGGGGCCAAGCCTCCAGGCGTGGTTTCCTGCAAATATTTTCAACATTTTCCAGTTAATAATCAAGGTCAGAGGACTCACAGTTTTAAGAGGACATAATGAATTTGTTGGACTGAAGTTCTACTTCGTTGAGGGTGTGGTTAGAGCAACCAATTTTAAGAAGCAGAAAAATACACTCACCCTTCCACGTTTCTTTGTGTCAGTGAGGACATCTAGAGGGAAATGAGAAGAACTGCGGGATTCTGTGTCAAGTACGAAGTGTCATGCCAGTTTATTAAAGGAGGGGTGCAATTTGTAAGTGGATCCTGCCATCTAGTATATGTTTCATTCTCTGTATTATTTAACTCCTGCAAAGCTACCATCCAGGGAGTCCCCAGCCCACAGTGATGTAGCTGGTGGCATGCACAGTTAGTCTCTTCCAGGTACAGATTTCCCATTTGATGTGTCCTTGCTGGCCTTGGTGAGCTCCTCTCAGCCACAGCAGGGTGTTGAGGCTCCTCACAGAGCCCAGTCCTGCAGCATTTCAGCTGCTGCCCTCACTGTGGTGTCATCCAGCCTGGTAACAGGGGTGTTAAACGTTACCAGCACAGGTCTCAACGTGCCTGAAAAACCAATAATCATCTGCTGGCTGTTTTTTTCTACCTGTTGAGCACAGCTTTCTGTGCCCAAAATCTGGGTTTTAAGAAGCTTATTGACCACCCACTGAATCCATTCCTTGCTCAGATTACTTCTCTTGCCAGTTCTCATTGAAGGTAAAGGCTTCAGAGACAATGCCTATATCATGTTAGGGACTACATATAATGGCAACAGCTGCAGCACCAAGTGTCACAGATGGCATACCTGGGCTGAGGACATTTGCTGACATAAAACTGGGAACGTCTCCAGTATTCAGCCAGCATGCTTTTATATCGTTTATCATTCGTATGATTTAGCTGACTAAATATGCTTGATAAATCTGGAATCCTTCAACGCTTCACCAGCACATCAGCACCTACTCAAAGCATAGCTTCCTTGTGCAGGATGGTCTAACAGTCATAACCGCAGAGGAGGAGAGGGTGGGTTGTAAGTCCATATTACTTCACAAGCCGTAAAGTGAGCACACTTCGTATCTTCTCGCCTATTCATGCAGTTGTTACAGCGAGTGCACTCTGGACAGCACAGAAAAGAACCTTCAGAATCGGTTTGGGCTGGGCTGCCGCAGGCACTACCCCGCACCACGCCGCACCGCCACAAGGGAGCAGCGCTGCGCTGACTGACATTCCCGCCTCAGGCGGAGCCAACGGTCGGGCGCGTGCGCAATGGACGCTCCTCCGCCGCACGCCCGCTCCCTTCCCGCCCTCCTCGTCACGTGATAGAGGTACGGCACCGTCACGCTTCGCGTCAGCTGGTAATGCCGGAAGTACTGCGCGCTGGAGCCGGTGAGGGACCGTCTGGCGTGAGGAGGCGGCGGTGGCTGAGGGGCACTGAGGGCGTCTGCTGCCTTCAGGCTCCCGGCTGCGTACCCCGAGCTCGCCGTGCTCCGGGCTGGTCTCGCTTCCAGAGCCGGGAGTTAGGGTTCTGTCACGGAGGGCGGGAGGGAGTTCGTCCCTTGCGGTGCCGCAGTGAGGAGGCGGCGTTCCTTTGCGGGGCTGTGCGGGCGGCGCGTGCCGCGCTCAGGGCTGGCAGCTGGCGGGGCAGCTCGTCTGCAAGGCGAGACGGTAGTAATATTTCCTGGAGGTGCCCCAGGCCGTGGAGGAGCCCTGGGCAGCCGAGCTGGGGGGCAGCCAGCCCACAGCAGGGCTGGGGACTGCGAGGTGCCTTCCAACCCAACCCTGCTGTGATCCTAGAAATAGGGAAAGCTTTCCGTGCTCCAAAAATAGGCTTGATAACAAGCATCAGATAAGTTCAATGTCTGGCTCAGCTTTTCTGAAAAAGCACCCTAGGTAGTGCTTTGCCTTTGCTCATAGAAAGGAGGTCTTCAGAATATTCTCTATTCTGTAACACAGAGTGGGGTTTTATAGAAAATGTGGGTTTTAAGGAGTTTTTGTGAATCTGGTTTAAAACCTGTAACATCATGATGGTTCCAGAGGATATGTAACTGCTAATCGTGTTCTTATGGCAGATTACGTCCTCCCTCAAGGACAGGACAGGTGTTACTGAAACAGCTGCTCTGTGGTTTTCTGGACATATTTTGCAATTAGACTCATCTGAATACCTGTATGTTTAACAGCAGATGCAAGAACTTGTACTTTTTTTCTGGCTGTTGTTGCTCATTGTACTTGTTAGATTTCCTGTCAGTTACAGAACTCAGGAGTTATCTCTAAAGGGTATTGGTAAACCTTCTTGCTTCAAGCTCACTTTGCAGCTGAACTCTTGTGAAATTCCAGATTTCTGATGTCTCTTTATTCCTCACATTCTCCTTGTGACTGTTAGAAGCCATGGGTTTCTATCTGCAAGTTCTACAAAATGTACCTGCAACACATTTAAATGTAACTTGTTGCACAAAATTTAACGTACTGATCTTGTATAAGAAAGCACTTGAGTATTTGCATGCAAATGCATAAAATTATATTTTCAAAAGTGTCAGTAGATCAGAAATGATTGTCTATTCCGTTCTGTTTACACATATATAACATAGTGTTTCTTAACAACAGCTCTTTAGGTACAGGAATAGTGGAATTAAGTAGGGTCTTGAAGTTCATTTGCAGTGGATGCTTTTAGGCTAGTATTTTCAGCTCGTGGTACGTGGCTGCTTGGCGTTGGCGTCTGGGTTCTTGGTCATTTAAAATATTTGACAGTACAGTTTGTTGGGCGTGTCACGTCCCTGTAGTTAAATAAAATGGAGAAGGAGGATAAAATGAAAGCTTATTCCAAAGGCTGAAAAAGAACAAATAATTAAAAATGAGTAGATCTCTTGTTATAATAAAGCTTGTCTGGTGGAGTAGGCATTGACTTCATGTTGCTTTTTGTTATAAATTGGAAAAAGTGCTAATTAATACTTTCTTGAACTTGCTTCTGACAACAAACCAGTAGGAGGAGAAGAGAGTGTTTATGGATTGGTTTCACTAGCTGCCTAATCAAAACTCTCATTAAAAGTTTTATTATAGGCATTTTGGCATGACATGCATTGCAACCTGACTCAGTTGTTGCTAATGCCTTTGTGACGCGTGACTGTTTGCTTGTCTTATGATGAGCAATCTGTATTTTTTTTCCTAGTATTTTTTCTTGAAAAATAAATGTTGTAGGGTTTAATATTTATTTATTTAGTAGTGAAATTTAAACTAGCTGGTTATTAATACGTAAGTATATGTGACTTCTACATCTTAAGTGCAAGAAAAGCAAGTCTTATTAAAATGATCAGGAAATGCCATGCAGCTAGCTCTACTCTGTACAGCCATTGTATAGTCAAGTTTTCAAGAAAACTTTCCTTATGCTAATAGAAGTGATATGAGAAGGTATTTTTAAACAAGCTGTGAAAAATTTATGATATCACAAATTCTAGTTATTAAAAATAAAAACTGGAAAAAAAAAAAAAGAAAAATAAAGTGAAATTAAGCAAGAAGAAATGTCACCTACTCTGTTTAAAAGAAGACGTTGTGACAGAACCATGTATCTACCACGATGGAACACATCAAATGTGTAACAGAAAAATACATTTCACAATTTACCCAGAAATAAGGAAAGTCTTTAAGGTAGGAAAAGGAGATCTTGTCTGTACTCTTAGAAACAGTAACATGGCTTACGTCCAAATAATTTGCTTGAGGAAATATTGTGAAAGGAAAAATGTTACTGTGTCTTTCTGATTAATTTGAGAAATTCTTTCAAAGAAGAAGCTGGTCATTTGGTTTGGCAGTCATTAAGAAATTAAAAACATCGTTTTCTTTTCCCCTGTTCCAAAAAGCATGAAGAAAATCTGTGAAAGCTGTTTTCATTGCACCAAGCTTCTTAAATTTTCAAGGAATAACAGTTTTTTATACTTCACATCAAGTGTGTGTAGTACATACTTTATATACGTACTACATGAAGTGTATTTAAAAGAAACTTGAAGTAGTTCAGTGTGACATGGTCATTGCAGAATATACTCATATAGCTTATCTGCTTTTACAGAATTCTCTTTGCCTGTATGTTTAATAGTGAACTACAATCATGGCAGCAGTCAGCAATGAGTCCCACCATCCTGTGGATCCTGGAAGTTCGAAGCTGCAGTTTGCCCCCTTCAGTAGTGCCTTGAACGTAGGATTCTGGCATGAACTAACCCAGAAGAAGCTCAATGAGTACCGATTAGATGAGACTCCAAAGGTTATCAAAGGGTACTACTACAATGGTAGGTAGAAACTGAATGTCTCTCTTAGTAGTTTGGGTTTCTCCTTTTGTTCCTCTAAATGTTCATTTAATGTGTATAAGGTATTTTGCTGAGACATTGCTAGGATTAGGAGCACTGCTGAATGAGGTGGGAATTCTGGTGTGTCCATGGGTGTCTTATAACCCTAGATTAGTTTCTCTAACTTTAAAACATATGTATTGTAGTTTAAAAGATGCATGTTGCTTCTTTTTGGCCAGGCGATCCATCAGGTTTCCCAGCTCGTTTGACGTTGGAATTTAGTGCCTTTGACATGTAAGTATGTATTATGCTTCACCCTAATTCATATGTGGAGAAGCTTTCCTTGTATAACAGTAATGCTTTCCCAAGTATGACTTGGAAAAATTCTATAAGAGATCAATTCACTTTCTCATGAACTTTGTAACTGCAGAAAGAGTATTTGTGCCTTGGAGTACTACTCCCTGTTTTTGAAGCAGTGTATTCATCTGAAGGGTCAAGCTTAAAATACACTGACAAGTCTCAGTTTCACTTAGTGTTTATATGTGTTTATATAATACCCTTTTTTCCCACATTTCGTAGACACTTTTGTCTAAATAATGATTTCAGTCATCTGATTTCTGGTTAAAGCTTTCTTAATATCTTTATAAACTAAATATTCTTCCTTAGAATTAAGATCTCAAAATAGCTTTTACAATCCTGGTTGTTACATTGTAATATCTTTGAAAGCAATATTTAACCTTTGACTGAAATTTCCTAATTTTGCTTTTACTCCCAAGGTGAAGCTAGAACAAAGTTGTTCTGTGTACGCAACAAAAGTGAGATGAGAGGAAATCTTTTTTTTTCCATCCAGTTTTCACTTTGAGTTAATTGCCTAAATTAGTATAACTAACATAGGATCTGGATAAATGCCTTCATAGTCAATGCTTTTTTTTTTTTTTTTTTTTTTTAGTTGATGGATCACAAAGTTGGGATCTCGGAAGCAAATTCCTCTACCTTCTTAGGATATTAGGAGTTCTAGCAAGGCATAGTGTTTTTTGAGATAATTTCACAGGACACATTTTTATCTAAGAACTTCTTGATGTTATACTGAAAGTGTTTTCAGCAAAGTGCATTTGGAAGAAGGCTGTGATATGGAAACATTAAAATGATCAGTTTGGAAGAATGATGTTAAAGGAGTTAAATTAATCAGGTCTATAAAATTAGCTACAAAAAATTTTCCATTATAAAATAATGGAAAATAATCCAGCTACAAATCCAGCTGATGTTACAAACTAGGAAAGACACTCAGGCATCTGTCCAGATTAGACTTCCTTTGTGGTGTCCTTTTCAACTTAGTTTTTTTAACTGAGTATTTCTTTATGTGTATGAAGTATTGACGTGTAAAGTTCAGTCTTAATTCTTTCTTAGTGTAAATCACATTTATCATTAATTGTTTGTTTGAATTCATTTTTTAAAAGTTTTCCTTCAACCTAATTCAGTACTGCTTTGCTAGAAAAACCCAGATTCCTCATGCATTTTGAGAGCATAATGTGGATGCTCTCTTCCACAGGTTCTTATAACAATCCATATTTAACAAAGCATTATGATCAGAAAAATGTTTTCAGTGTTGCTTTCATTAGCTTTTGTTACTATGCCTCATTGTTTTCCAGTTTCTGGACAATTTTTCCCCATAGGAGAGCAATTGTTACTACTGTTGATCATGCTGAAGATGTTAGTACGCAATTCCCAGTGTTCTTTTTTTTAATTCAGGAATGCTGCAATACCAGCACGTTGCTGTCCTGCTTTTGGAACATTGTATAATACCAACACCTTCGAGGCTTTCAAGTCCTGTGATAAAAAATCACTTTTGGAAAAAGAAGCAAATGAGGTAATGTTAAAATCAAATCAGCTGGTTGAATGGTAATTGTTGAGTCAAAGCCTGAGCCACTGATTGAGCACCTGGGGAAGGGGTCTGATGAGCCCTGGGAGCACAGGTGAAGGCAATTCAGCTGTGAGACAGAAAGGGGTTGAGCCTGGCTGCACCTCTCTTAGACCTCATTGAAGGGCTGACTGCCACTGGGGAAGGACCTCTGGTAGGAGACCTCTTCCTTGTGGGGTTTTCCCTGTGAGCCCAGATCTTCAGACATGGGTGAGCACTTTTCCTTTCCTTTTGTAACGCATTTTCATTCACACTAGTCCCTTTGTCATTACACCTTCTGTATCACCATTCCATTGGGTTGATCTTTTTGATTGTTACATTGGTAAAGAGGTGGTTTAGAAATAGCCAGTGAATTGCTTTACAGTCTCTGACCCAAATATTAGAGAGTCTGTCCAAATTCACCCATTGGTTTGGATTTAACTTATTATGGTAGTAGTTTGATACTTGCTTTTTTACTGTTCTTCGCAAGAGAATAGCAAGTTGATAATTATGCTTGGAGATCTTTTTTTTTTTTTTTTTTCAGGCTTCTACAAAGCTGTGTTTTAAATGCAACGTGTACTAGAGCTGCCAGTGACTTGCATTCTATAGATCCAGTTTTTGATTTGTTACAGCATCCAGAAATCAGGAAGTGTCTAGTTTAAACTGAATTACTGCAGTCCATCTATCAATATGACAAAGTGATGGGAAACAGCCAGAAGTTTGAGATAAGGCAAGAGAAAGGTGACTGCCAAAGGAAGGGGCTTATCTGCTTGTTCTGTAACCAACTAATTTAAATGTCATGGCTTAGGGAGAAGAGGAAGTCTAACAAAGGCAACCTTTTTATTTTTGAGGTGCTATACTTTGACTGGTCTTTGATTCCTTGAATTAGATTTATTGGCTGCCTGCTGTCTGTGGGTAACAAAGCTTTCATGTATATCTTCACTCAAGGCCTGGTGTGGTGTAGTACTTCCAATTAATGACAGACACAGTGCAGTTACTTTAACTGTGTTCAGAGAGTTGAGGAACTCTTAGAGGTCTTATACTCTTTTTCTGTTTGTTTCTCAGTCCTTTCTCTTCTTTCTATCAACTATCAATTACAGATATGGGAATCAATAAAATCTGGAGCTGCACTTGAAAACCCTCTGCTCTTGAACAGGTTCCTGCTGTTGACATTCGCAGTGAGTAATGATAATGTATCTCAGAGCATTGAAATGGAAATGAAGTAGTAGTTTCTTAGGAGAACTTGTGTATTTGTAATACCATATTCACGTTATCAGGGTCATTCTCAGACATTTTAAAATATCTCAGAACATTTAAAAAAATTCTGAGGCCATTCTCATGTACACATGTAAAAGATTTTGTAGTGTATTCTTTAAAAAATGCAGGTACCTTCTCAGATTGCAAAATGTATCTGAATATGACCGCCTTACAAGTATTAGTGAAAACAGAGCAGCTCTCACATTTAACATATTTGCAATTTTAGTGCACAAAGCTCTAACACTGAAGTATTGTACACAAATTGTCTGCTGAAGTCCTGATTAGAAGGATGTGTAGAGGAAAGAAGTCTAGTATGCTTGGTTTTCTTTCAATTCATGACAGTGACTTGTCAAATAAGAACTATGGTTAGTACAAGTAGAAATTTCCTTTAATTTGTTTGTTATCTAATCTTGGTTTTTTGTTTTTGTTTTTTTTCCAAGGATCTGAAAAAATATCATTTCTATTACTGGTTTTGCTACCCTGCTCTCTGCTTCCCTGATGGAATACATATAGTTCAGAAACCAGTGTGTCTTGGTGACCGGTTCTCTTTAAATCAGGTATTGTAAATACCAAGTGTTATGAACTCTGTAGCACTGAGTAGATTTCTTGCCATGAAGCTTAGTGTTTTTATTAGCATGTACTGGATTTTCAAATCTGATTCCTTTTTAAAATCTTCTCTTTTCTTTTTCTCACTTGTAGTTTACCCCCTTTTTTTTTTTTCCTGTACAAAATCTTTCACCTTAACATTGCCTCAGCTTTAAGTTAGATGCAGGCATGGCAGACAGCTCTTGAGGGGAGGTAGTTACATGGCTGTGTGTATGGGAACTTCTGAATCATGGCCTGAACCACTGATTGAGCACCTGGGCAAAAGACCCTGGGAGCACAGGTGAAGGAAATTCAGCTGTGTGACTGGAAGGGCTGGAGCCTGGCTGCACCTCTCTTAGATCTTATTGAGGGGCTGACTGCCACTGGGGATGGATCTCTTTCTGGAGATCCTTCCTTGGTGAAGCTTTCCCCTGTGAACCTGGAATCTTCTGATCCAGGTGAGCAATCTTCTTCCTTTCCTTTATAGCACCTTTCTATTGTGCTGGTCCTTCTGTCATTGCACCTTTGTTGTAATGCCTTTCCATCGTGTTTATCTGTCCAATTGCTACACAGTATTTTTGAAACTGACCATTGTTTAATGAGAGGTTTTAGAAGGAACATTCTGTGAGTGATCAGGAGAAATGACAAAATTCTTAATAAAATGTATGATTTGACAAGAAAAATGTTGATAGGGAATAGTTTTTTAGAGCATCTGACAGTGTTTTGCAGTTTGTTTCTTATTTCATTGTGAGAGGACAAAAAGTCAAATTTTCCAAATACCTTTTTTGACTGTGACAGAAGTTGATGTGAAACTTGGAGTGTTTTTTTGATGTAGTAGTCCATGAGAAACAGTTTTCAGTTCTTTTTTTTTTTTTTTTCCAGTGGAAAATACTTGCCTTATTCCCAGAATGCCCTTATATTACTTTTGTAGTAATAAGTACTGTAACAGTATTGTCATTTTCCAAAAAAATTTGGCTAAATGTTGGAAATAGATAACAAAATAAACAGGGTGGTTAAGCCTCTATGGTGTAATAGTGTGATTGATGTTTGCCAACACACAAGACTGCAAGAGTACAGGTCTTCTACTTTGGAAACAAATCAGCGAGCTTTTGCTAATAATAGAGGGGGTAGACTTCCTTGCTCATCAAGCTGTTGTAACTATTAGAATGAGCTTTCATTTTATGGTTCTGTTTTTTTTTTTCTGTTGGTAGATCAGTTTGCTGCAATGGTTACAGTGTACCTGTTTCAAATTTGCGTTGACAATTGCAGCTTTAGCAACTCACTTTTTAATGTATTATTGTGGTAATAATAGACTTTAAAATTTCAGAATACACTGTATTCTGTAATAACTTGGGTGAGATAGCAATTGCACCGAATCATAGAATGAATCACAGAATGCTCTGGCCTGGCTTTGAACGCTTCCAGAGGCGGAGCATAAGGATACATGTCAGTGTTTCCTTATAGGAGCATCACAACTATTGGTTTCAATTCTTTTTGCTTTTAGATTCAAGCTCTTCAGAAAGCGTATGATGAACTTTGCCAGTCAGAAGGGGTTACAGCCTTTCCTTATTTTTTAATCAAGTATCATGACAATTCAGTGGCTGTATCTCCGCTCAAAAAATGGGATGGTTTCTTTCAAGACCAAGAGGGAAAGGTAATGAGTATTTTGCATCTTTTTATAACCTGCACGTACTTAATTTACAAGTGATTTGAAACATACATGTAATATTGAATTGGGCACACTTGTTGGCCAATAAATGCACTGGGTAAACAGCTAATGACTGGCAGCTTGGCTTGACTTCTGTGTCAAGAGTTAGGTGTTTACATCCTTATCCAGTAGCCAAGTTGTATCAAATTAATGGGCAGCTTTAAGTCTGAGTTCTGTGTGCTCTTTTTACTAAAATCTGAGGTTTTAAAAAGTAGTGTAAGTGCAGTAGTGGGTCACAGGCAAGCGAGCACTTAATTTATATAGGGATAGTTTAAAGCAAGATAAATCTGTAATCATTTCGAACGCATTTCTTTGTTAATGTTCTTTTTTGAAGGGATCTGCCAAAGAGCTATCAGATGCAGTTTCTTGAATGAGGTGACTCTGAAATTTGTCAGTATTTCCATGAGCCAGCTGAACTTGCTCCCCTAGAAGAAAAATGTATTTGTTGCTGCGTTAATGTACTGCTAGTTTATTGAACAAGGTCAGCTTTTTAACAGGTCTCATGCCTTCTTGAGTCAGCAAGTGCAAAGCAACAGCATTGTATGGCTGGAGGAGGGACAGGGGAATGGACCCTTGCTTCCCCTGTGTTTATGCATTAGATTTTGTCTAATTCATTTCAGACTGTTCCTAGAGGCACCTCACTGATGTAGAAGAGTTGCTGTAAGTTTATCAATAGGTGAAGCAAGAGCTGGGAAAGAAGAGCTCTGTAGATGTGAGAGAGACAGGTAGCTCTAGTGATGAACGAGTTCAAATTTTCAGCATATCTAAAGGCAGACAGTGGCATCTTTCTGACTTCTGGTTATGTTTTAGTTCTGCACTGAATGTAAAGTAATCAAGTTTAAGCGCATCAATTAAGTGCGTGGTATTACACTGGTTGAAGATGAGACAAAGCATCCAGTTCCTTATATATTATATCTCATCTTGAAGGGTTGGCTTTATGCGTTATTTTTATATTGTTTTTTTTCTCCTGTTATTTCATGCTGGATTGACCCCTTTCAGTTTGGGGTCATCCCAAAATCGATGCAGAATTTTGTTTAAGGAACAAGGCTTCTGTTATTGGGCTTTCCTCACAATGCCTTATTTAAAGCAAGCTAATATACTGTAGTGAAATGTGTGAATGCTCATGAAGAAGCTGAAGTGAGAGCTTTGAAAGCTCTAGCAAATGTTTTACTGAAATCTAGTGGGACCATGCAGAAAACGTATGTAAAATATGTATGTAGTCATTCTGTGTACAAATGTTCTGCATTAAAAATGCCAGGTAAGCTTTAGTGTGAACTGAGTATCAGTATTGATAGATGACTTCTCAGAGCAATTTCATTTGCAGGTGACAGTTGGAGTTTATGATCCGTGTAATTTATCTCACTATCCAGGATGGCCACTGCGAAATTTCCTGATCTTGGCATCACATAAATGGTATCTCTTTTATTATTTTCCACAGAGACATATGCTATTGATTTGTATCAAATGAAGCATTTTTTCATCCATGGCAATTTACTTGCATCATGCACCTGAAGCTTAACTTTAATCTCAAAAATATGCAAAAAAGTATATGAAGGAAAACAAAAACCCACAGAAAAGGCAGAAACCAACTAGTTTTAACTTTGACATTCCTTGTGTTCAGTGATTCTGGATTTGCGTGTTACTGTTGTAGTGGAACTGTTATGGCATGGCACCTGGTGAAGGGGGTGGCTGGCCCAGGAAGCACAGGTGCAGGTGGTTCACTTGTGCTTCCTGTGTGACCAGGAGCGGACCCTGGGTCCACCCATCCCTGGGTTCATCTAAGGGCCAACCTCCAAAGTGAGGACATCATCTGGATAAAGGCCACTTCCTGAGAAGGAGTGTTCTTTAGCCAGAGACTCTGGTCATCGATTGGGCAAGTCATTATTTTCCTGTCCAGGACTACTGGTATTCCTAACGATACTTTGCCTGCTGTCACAAACAGCTTCAGTATCACAAATGCTAGAAGCAGTTTCAGGGAAGCAAATCAGGAAGGAGAAAAGCTCGGGTACAGAATTTTCTGGACTGAAGGATGTATAAGTACCCAGAGTGCTTTATACATTCTAAGGTTTGTTGGCTTTTAGGCACTGAAGCTCTAGTTCTTTGAATTTTGGAATTGAATTGTGAGGGGGAACAAGGTTATTACATCAAGAACTAAAAGTAATTCTTACTTTTGCCTTGGGAAGTGCAGGTATATGTCGTGTTGCTTGGTATGCTTTCTGATATGGTTTGTCCAGCAGCACTGAATAAGTGACAGAGGACATACTGTTTACTGTCAGTTCACTGGAGTTGTCTCAGCAGAGTGTGATCGTTTATAGCCAGTGAGAGTAGTAGTGTTCCACTTGGTCAGAACCTACAAAAGACTGAAACTTTGTGTAGTAGAGTTAAAATAAGTTCCTTTTTTATGGGGGAAAAAAATTCATGTCTCTTTGTATGTTTTTTTTTTTTAATTGCCAGGGGCAATATTCTCCAGTCAATTGAAGTGCTCTGCTTCAGAGACAGGACCATGCAAGGGGTGAGAGACATAACACACAGCATTATCTTTGAAATAAAACTTCCACAAGGAGCATTTGGCCCAGGTAACCCATTTAAAAGAGGAAGATCCCTTTTCTGTTTCTTTCTCCCCAGTCACCATGAAGATAGGAAAAACAACACGGTGAAATCACTGCTTACACTAAGTTATTTGAAATAAATTGAAAATTATTTGAATGTTCTTTAAAAAACAAGGGTGAATAGGCTTCCTTATTGAATTAGTAACAGGATTTGCAGGATTTAAGGAGAGCATCTGAGGAAAAAGTTATTGTGGAGATATGGAAGTCAGGTAGCAATTTATAGTATCTTATATAAAGTGATTTTAAAAAGTCTTAAATTTCTACACAGTCCCTCTGCAAATGCTTATGATAGTGAATCTGTGCGTATTTTTCTGTTTACTTATAAAACAGTGGAATTCAGTCCCATTATGAGGTAGATAGATGTATTTTAAAGCAATCAGTTTGTCACATTAGAACAAACTCAGACTAAATTTCTGTCTGCTGAACTATCTGAACTATTTTTCTACCTTACCTAAGAAGTTCTGGGTGCTTTACGTGCAATAGCTGTGAAGTGTTTAATTATTGTAGAAATAGCATGTGTAATTCTCTACTGAATTTACAGATAGAGCCTAGGGATCATGAGGTGATTGAACTACATGAAACTTAGTAGCGAATTCTGAATTTACTGAGAGCTAAACATGCTGATCTGTTTGACATTCAGGATCACTAGGCTTGGTAAGGAATGATGATATTTCCACCTTAGGTATAAAGCAGGCAAAAGCAGCACATTAGGCATCTGGTATTAAATCCAGCAACGCTTGCGTAGCTGCATGAACTAGATTAAGGTGCAGCTTGTTTCCCTAAAAGCTTAATTTTTTTCCAGTAAGTTTAAATCAAACAATCTTCTTTTCCTATCCTGCGGTATTAAGGGTTTAATTTCTTTTTCCTTCTTTCTTCATGAAACAGATTGTCCAAAAGCTGTTGGATGGGAGAAAAACCAGAAGGGAGGCATGGGCCCAAGGGTGGTCAATCTCAGTGAGTGTATGGATCCAAAAAGGTTTGGTTTTCATCTTCTAAATTTCTGTAGTTTCTTTTCTTGGGTTTTAGTGATAACAAGTTGAAATGTGGAATGCAAGAATTCTCTCAATCAAGGCAGTGACGCATACACTAAATGTTTTGAAGATTATGCAGTAATATACGTATTGTGTGATCTTTGGTTCTAGTGTGGATTTGCATCTTGTTAGAGCAGAGTGCACTGCAAACAGCAGACATTTCTGCAGTTTGTGACTCTAGCTTATGTAGAAGCATATATGGAGCAGGGGGGTATAGCTGAATTCTTCCATGTGGGAAAAAATGGCATCCACTAACATTTATTGACGCTTGCTGAACATTTATGGAGACCAAAGGTGGTTATTATTGCAGTCAAGCTGTGGGTGGTATGTTTCTGCAGTTTTGACAGCAGTGTGAAAGGGAAATAGGGTAGAGAGATGAGCCTAAAAGAACAGCAGCAACAATCTGAAGAGAAACAAACTAATTTACTAAATTAGAAATCGGAATGCAAGGAATGCAACGTGCTATAGTACAATATAAATAGAATTGGAGCTAATAAATCAAATGAGTGTCTGAAAGCTGAAGGCCTTACTCTGATGGTGAGGTGAGATGATCTAGGGAGCTCACGTGTTGCTGAGATCAAAAGGGAAGGTCAGGTGACCTGTGAATGTCTTTTATATTTTGCTCTGATGGTAACCGAACAGCAAACAGTCCTGTGGGGGATGTATTACTTCTCTTCTGGGTCAGGTACCCAGAACTGGAGCATTAGGTCTTTAACTCCCCATGTACTACATGATGTTATGATGTGGAACACCGATAACCAAGAATCATAAAACCACAGCTGTGTCTTAATCAACTCATCCATGTGAATTGGCAGATTATGACCAGGGAACTGCTTACAGAACTGAATAACATCTTCAGTGTGTTGGAAGCAGTGGTGGTAATGTTGAAATATCGTAAAGTTTGTGCCAGGTGGATCCCATAAGTACTTGCTCAGGAACAGGAAGAACACCATATACATGTTTCTCAGGACTTATGAGGCTGGATTGCATTCTTACTGGTGAGATTTGGTGTCACCATTTTGAACCAAAGTCAAAACATCAGTCCCTGGAGTGGCAGATAAAGTAAAGTGGTGATCCTTCCAGATTTCCTGGAACCCTGGTAAAGCATCATCTCTGATGGCTGCATCACCATGCTGACTAAGCTGAAGGCTTGAACTTACGGAATCGGGCCAGAGAAGACAACCTGAACAGATAATAGATATATTCAGGCTGATGAAATATGGTCAATGTGGCCAATGTTCTCCTAGCAATAATGCCATCACAGCAGCTATGAAACAGTGGATCATCTCTGCTGGTGCAGATCTTGACAAGCACAGCATGCAGGCTTTTGTTCATTGCTTGCAGACTTCTCCTATGGTTGTTATGGTAGTGATTTGCTATTCTTTTTTAAGCAGTGCAGAGTTTTTACAAGGACGTTGTTAAGAGATGTTTAGCCAACGCATTCCTTACAAGAGAAAGTTTCAAAGAATATATCTGGTATATTTAATAGCTAGTAAGCAATCTGGCAAAAGAGTAATTGTGTTATGTATGTACCTAAATATCTCAATGGCAGAACGGTTAGAAGAATTTATAGCTAGTGCTCTTCGGAACATAGCATTGTGTTGTCTCACAAGTGGATGAACAACAGAGAAAGTTGTTTCAAATGTCTTTTGATCTCCACCTTAAGTGGAGATGAGCCTTTCAGACTAATTCTTTCACATTATTTAACACGTTGAATTGTTTAGGCAATGTATTGATGCTCTTGCTGGCATGATATATTCTGTTCTAAGTTGAGATATGCTTCACTCTTCACAAGAAAGTACAAGTATTCCTTTATTCTCTCTATATGTGTAACAATGTTTTATGTACATTCTTTTGCAGAAGGAAAAGCTCAAATTAGATATGTCAGCCTAATAATTTCTATTTCTTATTAGGAAAACAAAGCAGTCCCTTCTCTTGGCCCATTCTTCTCCACAAGTTGTGTATTCTTGTTGCACCCAAATGCCTTCATATAATCGAAAGATGGTAGAACAGTAGATCTCAGAGTTAGTGAGTTTGAACTGAATAGGAAAAATAGAGATCCAGAATAATAACTTAAGAGACCAAATAAAAACACGGCTCTGTTGTCACGAACAGCAAAATTGAGAGAAAGGCAAAAGCCAGCTGAAATCATGGTGAGAAGGAGAAGGTGTTATGAGAACTACTGGCATGTGCCTTGAGGGAATGGTCTATTCCACTTCTTTCTTTCCTTTTGGGGAAAAAAAACCCAAACAGTTGAAATAGGTCTTTGTTTGGGGAAAAAAAAAAAAAGAAAAACAAAACCCCATAATATTCATCAGTGTTACTATTTATTTTGTGGTATAGGTTAGCAGAATCATCGGTGGATCTTAATTTGAAATTGATGTGCTGGCGGTTGGTCCCTACTCTTGATTTGGAAAAAATTGTGTCTGCCAAGTGTCTACTGCTAGGAGCTGGTACACTGGGTTGTAGTGTGGCAAGGACTTTGATGGTAAGTCTTGAGTTAATCGTAAAAATCTGTTTATCAATAGTTCTTGAGCAGCTGCCATGGCACATAAGGAAAAAGTTGTAGTCCTGTGTATTAATGTATGCATTATAATTTACATTACAAATTGCAGGGAACATCTGTAGGGAATGGAAATGGCTTGGAGTTCTGCTTATAGTAGAACAGTAAGAGAAACTTAGCATGATAAGAATAGATACTGAATTTACATTTAAAGCATTGAAAAATTCTGGAACAAATAAACAAGCTTATAAAATCAAATTCACAATGAAGCATGGGAAGTAGCTGTGTTGATCCTTACTTCCAAGAATCCTTACCACATCTCACTTAATGGAGTTTTGAGGGGTTACTGCAGAGTAATAAATTTAGACAGATGAAGTTACCTGTTCTCTTAATTAAGTGCAACTACAGAGCCATTGCTGTGAATAGCTTCAAAAGCTGATCTTTGTAGAAAAATTGAGCAAAGTGCCTTTTAAGTTTCTGTCATTGGAGACTCGAAATTGTTTGACTAAACCCATTGTATTTAATATATTAATTAGTTTCTTGCTTAGGGTTGGGGAGTCAGGAAGATTACGTTTGTTGACAACGCAAGGATTTCATACTCCAACCCAGTGCGACAGCCGCTGTATGAATTTGAAGACTGTCTCAGTGGTGGGAAGCCTAAGGCACTTGCAGCTGCAGAAAGACTTCAGAAAATCTTCCCAGGAGTGGTAAGATCAATATTTAAAGTCTCCTAATAAGAGAGCAGTAGTGACTTTAACTGTGTGGAGTTCATCTTATCATTAAGACCTTCGTGTTGATGTGGTAGCAGACCCATCAACTGTTTGTATTTTTTTTGCTTTGGAATTGAGATTGCCTTTGATAGAGTGGTTATGCTTGGCAGAGCTTAACTAACAAGCAGTATCTTGACCACTGACATGAACAAGTAAATGGGTAGTGCATATTTACTCTGCAATTCTGTATTTAAAATACCCCTGACCACGTTACTAATCAGAGTGCTGTTGATCTCTAGATAGTGAAACACAGACTGGTTATGCTCCTGGTGGTTAGTGTTATGAACAAGCTTTACAGAAGATCCATTCCAGAGATTTGAGGTTCATTTAGTTTGACCCGAGGATTGCTCTGTTTTTGTTTTGCTTTTATCTGTGGTGATCCTATTGTTACCATTACTTTGAATGTCAGCACTAGTACTAAGCAATTGTTCAATGAATGTTGGATTATCAAACAACGATCTTTAATATGAAAATGTTAGGCATTTCACTTCCAGAACTTCTGATAAGTCGTGAAAGAATATGTAACACCTCACAGATTTTAACCTTGTTGTGCTACAGTACCACTGTTTCTTGGTGATACTCATTTACAGAAATATTTAATAGATTTAATTGATTCTGCATCAGGAACAAGCTTTTTGAGTGGCTGTGTAATGGAAGCCTCCAGTTATCCAAAGCCTGGAGTCACAAGCCTCAGAAGTTACTTCCTTATATATAAAGGTCGCATATGGATTTAATTACATGAATTACATGAAAATCACTCAAGACTATTGTTTAGAGAGAAGAATGAGCAATAATTCTTATTTATCATATTGTAACAGAGTTGGTAGTTGGTATCAGAGAAATCTAGTAGTTGTGTGTCAAGTAGCTGCAAAGATAATCCAGGATAATGATTTTGTATAACTTAACAACACAATCTTAATTGTGAGCAAGACCTGTCTGCTTGCTTCATCGTTGTTTGTTCCCTTTGGGACTAGAAGCAGTTCAGCTGTCTTCTGGAGCTGATTTGCTAGACCTAACAAGCCTCCTGATGAGAGATGCAAAGAGTGAAGTTGCCTTTCTGCCAAACCGTAGCACTTTAGAATAATTCTGTTAAGCCAAAAGTTTGTTTTAACATGCTGCTGTTTTTCTCTGCCTCCATCCAGAATTCAGAAGGCTATAACATGAGCATCCCTATGCCAGGCCATCCAGTGAATTTTTCAGAAGTAACAATGGCACAGGCTCGGAAGGATGTGGCTACACTTGAAGAGCTTATTGATGCTCATGATGTTGTTTTCCTACTAATGGACACTAGAGAGAGTCGATGGCTTCCTGCTGTTATTGCAGCCAGCAAGAGGAAGGTATTGTAGCAAATGTTGCTAATAATCTTATCACTGCATTTCAGCTCTTGCATATAAATCAGCTGTGTATACCTAAAGAACTGTATGGGAAAGCAAAATGAATGACCAGCTTGTTATGACTATACAGAAATTTCTCTTGTTTTCTGTAACCTCAAAGATTCTGTATATGACAAAAAGAGAATGTTGAAGGGGAAAAAGTAGAAACCTGAAACATGGGATGATACACATCAGAAGGTACCTCTGAAGGCTATCTGATCCAAATGATTGTGTGGTCTGGGACCAAATTACAGCATGTTGCTTAGGGTCTTCTCTCCTCAGTGTCCTTTAAGAATCTCTAAATGTAATTTCATGTAAGAGAAGCAGAATAGTGTGGTTTAACCCAACAGGTGGCCCAGCACCACACAGTCATTTGCATACTTACTCCCTTTCCCAATGGGATGGAGAAGAGTGTGTATAAAAAACAATTAGAACTCATGGATTGAGTTAAAACTATTTACTAAGATAGAGAAAAGAGAGGATATTTTATGTGTAAATATTATAAATTAAAAAGTAAAAACTATTTATCTGTATAAATATATTCCTATGTAACAAATGATGCACAAGCAATAGCTCAGCACCCCCAGCCAATGCCCAGCTAGCACCCTGAGCAGTGGAAGAGGAAGACACCAACTCCCACCCCCTTCAAAACTCTTTTCATTTGATATAATAAGGTATGGAGTATTCCTTTGGCCAGTTTAAGTCAGCTGTCCTCATCCTGAGAATGGCCTTGACTCTGTGCAGCATTGCTTAGCAAGCAACTATATAAATGTTGGTGAAACTAAGACAAGTAAGGAGGACTGAAAACATTCAAATGTCACTCTTTCAAAATCCCGAAAATGAAAAATGGGAATGTGCTTTCTGAATTTAAAAAGCATGTCAGTGGGGTTTTTTCTGGCCAAAAGTTAACTTTGTTTTTTTTTTTGTCATTACTTTTTTGGAAAATAAACTGTTGTGCTGAGCCAATGCTTCCAGTATTGCATTGAGAAGATTCGGTTGAGAAAAGAATAAACTACAATCAGAATGAAAATGGATATTCAGAAATTATTCGGAATGCCAAGGAAGATCTTAAAAAATTAAGTTAACGTGGCTAATTCTTGAGAGCTTCCTCAAAGTCTTGTCTTATTCCTGTTTGTAAGAGAGAGGAATGATGAAGTGTTGTACTTGAATTTTCTATCTGAAAATATCTGCATGTTAAGCAATGTATTATCTTTTATATTTTACTTGCTAGAGTCATTATTTGTTTTTTTTCCTTTGTATCTTGGTAAAATCTACTAGTTTAAGGATGACTTTATGATATTCTGTTCACAACAGAACTGTCTCAGTATCTGCTTATTTTTCATATAGAACTTCAGATTACTCCCAACACTTCTCATACTGAAGAAAAATGGGAAAATGATGACAAAGTAATTTTATATCATGGCTGCTTTTACTCCCCATGTGACTAAACAGATACATATGAAGACCATAAGTAATAATTACATGCTTTCCTCACTGAGCAAAGAGTTTTTTGAATAACAGATGTGTTGCTTTGTCACATAGGAGTTATTTCATACCACAGTGAAGTGAACAGATTGCTTATGGTATCTCAAAGGACATGAAAAGTTATTCTTGATCATCACTGTTGTATTTAAGTGGCATTTGGAATATTTCAACACTGAGAGCTTCAATGTTTGGTACAGATTATGCAGCAAACTTAGGAATAAACTGAGCTGGAAATAACAAGTTATTCCAATAGCAGTACTAATTAATGTATGAATATTAGGCCAAATATAAATACGGGGATGTTGATTCAAATCAGTGCTTAGCAATTTCAGTCGCTTAAGTGAGAAGCTGTGTGTTGGCTTGAAGTTGTCTTCAAATGCAAACTAGAACTTGCTTTTGGAGTTTGTGTTCCGGTGTTGTCTACAGGCATGCCTAAATTTGTGCAAAAAAAGTCATTTTTATCAGTTCCCAGAAAGAAAGGAAAAAAAATGTTCTGAAACACTTTCATGTTCTTTTAATGCTTGACCACTGGGATTTGCCACATATCAGAAAATCTGGGTTTTGTTACGGCTAGGATGATAAATAGGTAGTTATTAGGTTATTCATCTGACTAAAGATTGTGTGGGCTTTTCTGTATGATATTTACAGTGAAGAAAACCATGTGGTCTTTTTTCCCCTCTCCTTTTGGCTCACTTCAGATTTGTTCTCTATATTGTCCATAGCTGGTCATCAATGCTGCCCTGGGGTTTGACACGTTTGTCGTTATGAGACATGGACTGAAGAAACCCAAACAGCAAGAAACTGGCAATGCATGTTTCAGCACTGCCCCTGGTCCTTCTGACCTTTTGGGCTCGTCGCTCTTTTCAAATATCCCTGGCTACAAGCTGGGCTGCTATTTCTGCAATGATGTCGTGGCACCAGGGGATGTGAGTACAGTGTTATGCAAATGGTGACCATTGTGTATCTCTTGTTGAATTGAATTTTTATTTCCTTTAAATGGCGTTACATCAAGGATTCCTCTTACATTGATTTGCACAGGATTAAGAAATAGTTTATCTTTTATTTGGAAGTTAAAAAACAAAAATGAAATGAATTGCAAGTCACTAAAGATATATTGTTTAGAAGAACAGCAAAATCACTTATTTAAAATTATATCTCTTTCTAGTCCACCAGGGATCGAACACTGGATCAGCAGTGTACGGTCAGTCGACCTGGATTAGCCATGATAGCCGGAGCTCTTGCAGTGGAATTAATGGTTTCTGTTTTACAGCATCCAGAAGGGTGAGTCATTTCAGAGAGGAGTGGTGTTTAAGAGATGTTCCTTGAGAAATGAGTTACTTTATATAATCTTTTGGGAGAAGAAGGAGGGGCTATGCATTAAGTAGGGGAGTTCTGTAATGCATTATGTTGCCTATAAATTAATGTGATGTATGGATCATGTATTATGTTTTACTGTAGTGTAATGGTATTTAAGAGAGAACTAAATGATCAAATCACAGTTTTGTCTTGGAGATTGGCAAGTTTTTTTTGTCTGACTTTAAAGGTATGAAAGTATTGAGAATATTTCAAAAGAAAGTGTTTTCTGTGAATAGATCCCTTACTCAAGAGAGCATTTGAGTGTAATGATGAGCTGTCATAACTACTTTTGTCACAAGAAAGGTGTTAAGATAAGCTAAATACTTCAAAATCATAATTAAAACTAAGTGCATGTGATGCACAAATGTCTATGGAATTTTCTAATCTGAAATTTAGGTTTATTTTCTGTCTTTAAAAGCAGTGAAAGAGGAAGTGAATTAAAATTTGAATGCAAGTGACTTACAAGTGTCTGACTGGTTCTGAAGATTTTTGTATTCCCATGCTGGAGCTTAGTTACTGTGAAGCAAACTTTCCAGATAGCTTACTTTCCAGATTCTAAATTGCAAGCTGAAATGAAATGCCTTGTAGCTTACTGGAAACTTTGACTGTTCAGTATGTTGTCTTGTTCTAATTTTCCTTCTTGAATTTTTGTCAGTGGTTATGCTGTGGCCAGCAGTAGTGATGATAGAATGAATGAGCCACCTACTTCTCTTGGGCTTGTTCCTCATCAGGTAAGAAATCTGTGAGAAAATGATTTCATCTAAAATCTTGGTACTGATATAAGACACACATCACAGCTTGCCTCCTTAAAAATGTACTGTATGCTGATCTGATTCCATTCCCAGAAGGGACTGAGTCTACATATTTGGATTAAGAATAATTAAGAGTAATGCAAGCCAAGGTTATAGTGTTGCTGGCAGTGCTTCTATCCCAACAGTGCCTACTTACCAGGAATTTATTTGGAGACAGAGCCACTAGCAGGCAGCATGAATATTACAACCTCTCCTTTTTACTCATCAGAGCTAAGAATGAGCATCTCAAAGTTGCTCGTATTCTTCTTTTCAACCCTAGTACAGATTAAAAAAAAAAAAATCAGATCCAACCAACTCATAACTGTTACAGTTCTCTAAAATACCCATGATTTTCAGATGCAGCACAGAAGTCTTTATGATGTACTGATCCCAAGCTGCAGCTATAAATTTGTGTTTAGGATACCATTTTTCACAGTGATGGATAGACTGACTTCATTAGTTATATTGACAGGGTCTTTAAAAAAGCTATCTACTGAACTTAATGTAATCATATACCCTGGAATGTATCATTGGGTATTTGAAGTTCTACACTCCTCTTGCTTTATATTGCTTATTCATGTTTTACTCTGAGTAAAAAAAAAAAAAAAAAAAAAAAAACAAAAAAAAAAACACCAACAAAAAAAACATTTCTATTCTCAAGTAAGTGGAATTTTGGAGTTCTGTTAGCTTTTTGTGTGTTCAAGATGAATTTTGATTCAGAAAAACCTAAAAGTGCTGCTGTGTTTTTTTTTTTTTTGTGATCTCCAAGTAATCACAGCAATAAGTAAAACTGGTCTGTTTTTGTTTTCTTATAGTGTTGTGTAGTAAGCAGTAACATGGGGATCATCACATGAAGTGGGGTCCTTGAGGTTCGCTTGTGGTCCTTTCTGTTAATTGGAGCCTCTCCAGGTCACTTTCAGGAGTTTGTCTCCTCACACCCATGGAGCTTTTTGTTTTTGCTTGTTACAGTGGACGTAGGGGGTGGTTCTGCAAATACTACTACAAGAAATGGTCTAGAATTTTAAAATCGCATGTTAGCGTGTTGTATCAATGGCAAAATCTAGGAATGAGCAGCAGTTAATTTTGTCCACCTCTAACGTATGATCTGAAATGATTTAACTTCTTACATCACGACTTGTCACTTAGTTTTGCAGTCTGATAGCTCAAACGCCAGGTGGTGCTGTGCCTCTATCTTTAAATAATCTGGTGCTCAGATAGTTGTATCATTATTTCTATATAGAAGTGTAATATATGCAGGTATAAATTTTATACAGCTCTTAGTGGTGATCTTCGCTGTATTCAACTGTATTACCCTAAATATGCAGTAAAAAGATAAAGAATAGCTATAATTATGTCCAACTCATAACATTCTGGAAACCTGTTTTTTATAGTTGTAATTTTTTTCACCTTCCAGATCCGTGGTTTTTTATCAAGATTTGATAATGTTCTTCCAGTCAGTTTGGCATTTGATAAGTGCACAGCCTGTTCCCCCAAAGTAAGTCTGAGTTTTTGTTGTACTTGATCTGTGTACATAATGGCTTTGCTCTAGGTCACTTATAAGATGTTATAATCTGCTTTATGTTTGACGTTTTCTTAAGGCTTGGAATCTGTGTTCTCACTTTAGCTAAAGATCTGTTGCCCTTGTATTCTTTTTTTAGCTGCTTTCTGGTTTTTTTTGTTTTTTTTTTTTTGACACAACCTATGAGCATCTCAACAAAGATCTTGCTCACAACTGGAAAAAAAACCTCCCAGCAGATTAGGGACAGTGCATTTCTGAAATGTTTTGTCGTGTAAATACTGGTAAATGTTTGTAGCTTTATAGCAGGGAATAAAATTGGTTCTGTTTTTTTAAGAAACTATTTTTGGTGCCCAGTGAATAAACTTAAATTTACCTGCCTTGAATTTAATATCATTACAAATGTATTGTCTAAATTTGTATTTTATGGTATGAAACAACATACAAAGAACATGTCAAAAAAAAACTAAACAACTTCAGTAACATTTCTTTATTAAGAAAACTGCTTCATTTTGATGCTAGCGTTGACAGTCCTGAGTCACCTAATGGATTTACAGCTGTTGCTAGAATCTGACCTATGTCCTGCCAGAACACTGGGGCAGCTCACTAAATGTGTCTGTGTGAGGCCTCCTTTTTAGTCTTGGATTGTTTTCCTGTATTGTGGCCTTGAAAAGTCCTTCTGGCAGGTTTTCTATAGCCATGTAGTGGAAGGCTCAAAAGCTTTGGGATAACTCGATATGAAGATTCAGAAGTTTTGACTCATTATTTGGCCTGCTTGCAAGTGCCATTAATTTAGTTAGCTTTTATGCACCTAGAGACTGACTGCAATAATTTCTTTTCATTGTTTCCACTGTGCTTATCCTTCCTGTTTCAAATAGCTATCAAAAACTCTTGAGGGACTATCTTTTTTTTTTTTTTTGAGATCTTAAGATGTTTTGCAGAAACTATTTTTGTACAGTATTCCTGTTATTTTTTCAGGCTGTCTTGGTGTGTTTGACAAGTTTTGATGGAATTTTTGTGTCCATTTTCTCCTCAAAAGTTCAAGCACAGAACTTAAATCTGCTGTTATTTTTAGGAACGTGTTTACTGTCTTAAGTAGTTGAAAGCATAGCAGTAGTTAAAAAAGAGTATTTTCTCTCTGTTCCAGAAGTATGATTGGCAATTTCTGTTGCTTTCGTAAAAAAAAATATTTATATGTAGAAATGGGAAAAACTGTATGATGTTGGAGTCTTTGAAGTTGAAGTTTTAGAACAAGCTTTTCCTTTTTTGTCTTTATCTCTGACCCAGGACATTGATTTATCATAACATACATTGATGTAGATAAATTAAATGCAGGTATCAATTTTTTGTTAGCAAATCATTTCCTCTTGGAGGTCATTTTAAGAGAGCTCTGTTTTACATAAACAGACTTGATGATTTAATAAAAACTGACTTGGATTTTAGCAGCTGTGCTATTCCCAGAGAGATCACTTTTCATGTGGTTTGAGGATTAAATTACTTTTGTGCTGAAAAAGTTGCTTCATTGGCGCACGTATTTCCTTACAGTAGAAACACAGCATTTGTTTACTTTGCTAACTTTGTTTATTAGTGTAAGAGTATGTCACCCTGTATTATCTGGACATCTAATGCTAATACCTTGAAATGACAAATCCAGTTTAATTATAGCCTGTATGATGACTTTTGTTTAAATGCATTTATGCCAGCTTTGCTATAAATTCAAATGTATGGAACTAGGTTCTTTCTGATACGATTGGATTTGCTGCTAACTCATTCTGTTTGTTCTTATGTCAGCGTTCTTGTTCTTAAGCACTTGTCACTCTTCAAACACAAAGCTAATGACTGAGGAGCTCTTTAAAAAATGTAGTAGTACAGCTGGATGACTTGGGAGAAGCTGCTAATGGTCTGTGTGTTTAGAGATTACGTTCCACTTCGTTTTGACTCACAGTTTTTTCTGTTTCTGAAACTGAAGAACTCAGACACCCTAGCAGCCAGTGGTTCCTTACCCAGTATTGTCCTAACCAGGCTGCATGCCAGAGGAGTTTCCCACAGGCAATTGTTGAGGAATTTTGGGATGATCACAGCATCTGGGCCAAATTTTCTGTGTATGGTTTTCCCCCTCTCTCTTGTGTTGAACTAGACAAATTGTGTTCTTGAAAGCATCTTCTTTCAAACTAACAGCACTGCACTTAGCCTGCTTCACAGTAGGTCTGAGGAGCACTGAAAGCTTTCCTTTTGCACTTCTCTATCCATGGTGAAGTTATTTCTCTGAGGGGAGAGAGTCCAAAGTTCTTTGGTTATGGATACTTGATTTTACTAACTGCTCTCTTAAACAACAAACATCTTTGACTTATTACTTAGTGTGCTAATTAAGCTGCCCCTTTACCCGTTGGGAGTGAAATAAAGTTACTTTCTCATAAAATTATGGTGAAAAGCATATTCCATGTGAAAATAGAGTGGTCTTGATCCTTGCAGGCATCTGGCTAATGCCTTGATACATAGATGTTAAAATATTTATCTTACTGTATTAACATTAGCAGTTTATTATTTTTTACTTAGGATAATGAAAATTTGCCTGTTCTTGCTCCTCCTGGTGCATCCTGAAATGAACTGTAGATTCATGAGTTTTCCTCGTGAATTCCCAGAGTTGAATGTCAGAAGAGTGCTGATTCCGCCCAATTTGGATTTGCTTATCCTCTGTTCTCTTGTATAGCGTACAGATATTTTCTCTCACGTTCAGATTTATAGTCAGTGTTTTGGTAAGCGTTGTAATGTTCCTGTAAGATATTTTTCTACTTCCCTTACTGATTTTTTAGCACTCAGTAATGTTACTGACTCTGCCTTTAAAGGCTTCCCTGGTTTTGCTGCATTTCATGAAGGGACAGACACCAGGATCAGGGATGGCATACCAGGCACTGTTTGTTTTCAGTCAAGATGTTTCCCTGCCCTTGTTGATGTTTTCCCTTTTTAACATCCTCACAATAGATCAAATGCTATTGCTGTGACATTTGCTAAGTGCTTGCATTGCATAAGTTATTTATGAGTGCCTCAATTTTGAAATCTACCATCATGCAGACATAATAATGTGTTTTGTTTTCATCTGCTAACTGCTTTGCATGCATTTTTACTTTACAAAGTTCAGATCAGCAATGGCAGTAACCTGCATTTTTCAGAGACTTTGAGTTGATATAATTTTAATTTCAGCAATGCCAATGGTACTTGCTTTAGCTGCATTGAGGAAAGGTTTTTTCTTTCTCCCAGTAATAACCTGCGTGTTTCTCAATTAAAATATTGCTTTGATGTGTAAGTCCTGAGGGAGAAAAGGTTTTCTTTATTCTTAACAAAAAAGCTAACTCTTGCATGGCTTACAGGGAGAAATGTTTGTCATTCAAGAATGAACACTGCAAAAACTTACAAGAATGTAAAGAATTATTTCTGTCACTGTCCTGTGACATTGAGATTGAATCTATTTATAACTTATTTCCTGAACTTAAATATATTAACATTTGACACTTCTGTGCACAGGGCAGCCTGAGTATGAATACTGGATAGATTACATTCAGGCTTAAAGAATCCATCACTAATACATCTAAGCGTGTTTTGAGTATACTGAGTTAAATGTAATACTATTTTGCTCTTAAGGTAACATAGGAAATTGCTATTTGATAAGTGATATACAGAAATGTATCAAGTCTTTTTATCCTGCTCCTCAACAATGGACAGGAGGAGGAATCAGGATTGTTTTGCCCAAAATTTGTGAAACTTCAGGCTGCCCTTTAGCTCTTTGGATGTTGATTTTAAGAGAATTGAAATAATGCATTTTTAAAACTAGTTGCCATGAGGATGTTTTTTTTCCTCCCAGTTGCATGGAAGGTGCACGTTCTTGAAAATATTGCTTGGTCTTATTATTTCAAAACTAACAGACTTCAATTATAAAGTCAACTTATGCTACATTTTGTTATCTCAAGCAAAAGGATATTAACAGAAGTAAGCTATGGTGCTTGCAAGGAGTGCTGCATCGTGCACTAAAATGATCCATGGGTGCGTCCATTGTAATCAAACTTTGTTCCCTTAGAGGAAAGCAATATGATCAGACACAAATCTAAGAGGTATTAACTTTTATCCTTATTTTGTGAACAAAGAAGGGTGAGGAATCAGAGATGTGATCTTTTGTACATGGGGTGGGTGGAGGAGGTGTCTCTACAGACAGCATGGATGAGAATTAGAGAATGGATCTTAGGAAAGCACTGGAGACCTAATGAGTTTGGAGATCGAGCTCCTTATCTGTCATATGCCTGAAACTATACGTGACATTATGAAATATATGTAAGTAGAACTGCATAAGACAGCAGTGTCTGACAAACCTTCTTGGGCATAATGGTGCCACGTTGGGAAAGGTAGAAAATATTTCTGCTCAATCTTAAATCATACCATTTACAAAAACTCAAAAAGCAGACAGATTCTGATGTGTTATTGCTAGAATGTAAAAGTTAAAAATGATTTGTACTGTTTTTCAGAGTTTTGAGGTGCAGGCTGATTGACATTTAGGGATAAGACAGCTCCAAACAGACTCCCAGAGAGTCTGCAGAGAGAGGATTGAAACCAAAATCTTGCTGATGTGTCATATGGTACTAAATAGAAAGGAGGCTGTTTGGAAAATTCAATCAGGTCGTGAGAAGGATGGTTCAAACTTTAATGAATACTGCTGCTGGCAGGCTCACTTGTTGTCTTCTCCCTACCCCCGGGCACCACGATGCTAACAATCTGTAATGAGCCATTGCTCTTAGCCCTTCTGTTATGTCTTCCTTGTAACTTTCAGCATGTCTGCTAAAGAAAAAAGCTTCTTTAATCAATTTGTTTGTTTTCTTCAACTAAGACAAATGTAGCAAGCATATAATAATTGAGGAGATGGTTCAAATTAAAAGCTCCAGTTGGAGAGTTGTTTTCCGAAAACTAGTGATGTTTAAAAAGAAAAAATTTGC